AACAGTTCGACAACTACATATTTCTACAAATGCAACAATAAAGTGCACAACAAAAAACAAAAAAAGACTGTGGTGTGGCGCATACAAAAGTACGCTTAGCTGCAGCTCTAGGGCTTGGGTGGCGCAGCGTGTCAAGTGCAGTCCCCAATCGATTGCCTAGCTGCGCGCTGACTGCAGTTTGGATGGAATGAATGTTGGTGCGATAAAATGATGCGATATAAAAAGTGTCCGATCAACGATTGACCACCACACTGCCTTGACGGTTGGCTAGTTGGCGCATTAGGGCCTTCACGCTTAGCATTTGTAATGGTGGCAATAGCAGAGCAAAGCACAGAGCCGAGCAGCATGCATGCTGTGGGTGATGGCCCTGGGCTATTAGCGCGCTGTGATACACGACTTTTGGGTGCTGATGGTCATGCAATGGGTGTGTAGTTGTTGTTGTTGTCCGGTGATATGCCTACTTTGCTGCCAGTGCATGCAGTGTATTTTATTATCATTGCCGTAATTTATGTGCGATAGGCAGATATGCCAGCAGGCATGGGTTTATACATATGTACATACATATGTATGTATGTACGCATTGCACATGCGGTCAGAGATTTGAACGCTTTGATGGGCGCAGTCAACGAGGTCTCTTTATCGAGTCTGCTTATCGTGCGTTAGATCAGCGCTTTAACAACTATTCGTTCCTACTGCTTATCTTTATATTTATGTGCCGAAATGCGACTAAAAGATAATTCGATTAGACGTGCAATGTTCAGAGATCTACGGAAAGCTCAACTTTAATAGAAATAAAAAATTTAAAATTGTTTTATTATATGCGGCTATTCCAAATTGAACGTAACAAGACTCTGCGTGATGGCATTCGATTTGGCTCAAATTTCGCCTACAGCCTAGCTTCACACTTAAACCGACAGAAATGGGCTTACAAAATTTTCGTTTAGTTTTCTAAAGCGTTATGGGTGTGGAAAATATGAAGTTGGGTCAACAAAATTTCTTATAAGCTCACTATTTTTTGCTCTAATTACAAAAACAGAAAGTTAGACAACTTCTGGAAGGTTTCAAGAACAGGGCAACTCCTCTAAAAACAACGGCGACCAATGTCCAGAACGAGTCTAAATTACGTAGGGAACACTTTTCCATCCTACTGAATAGAGGCAGCACTAAAAGTAGTGGAGGAGATCGTAAAAACCAAAAAAAAATTTCAAGTTCATTGCAGAATAGAGTAAAAATCAAAAGATTTTCCTGAGGTCAAGATAACTTTTCATTTAATTAGACCGTTAAAATTACTTTCAAAAGTAAATTTTTATATTTTTTTTTGTTTTTTTACCTAAAAACAGCTTGCAATAAACTTTTTAAAAACAATTTAATGAAATACTTTTTTGATTATTGCGACAAAGGAAGTGGATTCCTTGATGTACGTACAGCAAAAATGTGGGTTTAAAACTTTTTAAAAACTTCCTTGCATACTGGTTTCACGCTAAAACATAGGAAACAATTTAAATCATCTATTTTTGAATGCGATTTTAAAGGTCAAGGTAATTATTCTAACAAACGAGACTATTTTTCCTGGATTCTTCATCTCAAAAGCTTTGAAACACCGTTACATTTATTTCGCTATCTCTTCTCGTTTGATTTTGTCCTTTTTTTCTAAAATAGAACACTGTGCGGCGTATACACGCTCAAACGTACAAAGTAACTCCATTCGTATTTAGCACACATTTGATTGCTCTTTTGCTGGCCCGTCTAGAGGGGAGAGGGTCGTGGGTATTCCCACTCAGGCCCGGATTTTCAAAGCGATAAATTGTATTAGCAAATATTTACATAAATAATTATATTTTATAACGGATTTTGACTCAAACAAGATAAACTAGTTTGCATATTCATTTGACCTGTATAGTAAAAACTAGATTAAGATTACGATTAAAATTAAGATTAAGGTTGAGATTAAGGTTAAGATTTAGATTGAAGTTGAGATTGAAATTGAGATTATGATTATGATAAAGTTTAAGAACAAGATTAAGATTAAAGTTAAGATTAAGAGTAAGAGTAAGATTAAGATTAAGATCAATACTAAGATTATAATTAATATTACGATTAAGATGCAGAATAATTATATGATTAAGATTAATATTAGAATTAAGTTGGAAGTTTAAATTAAGATGTTTGTTCCTCATATTGTGAACTGGATATACGGGTAATGGGAAGAAGTTTCATTTCATGTGTGGAATCCACACACAACAGCGGTCGTCCTTCGGCTGGCAATGACAAACCTCCGGGTGTAACTCAGCCATGGAAAAGCTTCTTAGAAAACCATTTGCCGTTCAGAGGTGGCGTAAAATTGTAGGTCCCTCCTAGTGGCACATCTAGGACTTTGCTTATTTTAAGATAGTTATCAAGAATAATCTTTCAGAAGTATTTAGAGATTGTTTGTACCTTTATGGCTAAGGATATGATGAAGCTCCGTTTGGGGCAAATTTCACCGAGCCCAAGCCTACATACAATTGGGTTTTCCCTTGGTATTTATGTACACTGTACTCCACATAGTTTCAACTCAGGCGTGAATGCAAGTTGTTTCAAAAGGAAATCGAATAGCCCAATTCTGTATCGGTGATACAAATTTTTTTTATGACAAATTTAAACGTTTTCATATATTTTTCCGTAATAGAAACTGTGACAAGATTTTGTCACTAATACAGAATAGAGAAGTATATTCACATGACAGCATAAATTACTTTGTTTCGATCAAATTACTTCACATAAAGCAAGTACGTTCACATTTCCTTTCATAATTTCAATAGCACGTGTACGTACGAGTTTGTGGTTTGTACTTGATTTCAAAAGCCAAATTTGCATACTTTTAGGTATTTTTTCAAATTTCCTCAACAGTGGGTGCTAAAATAAATAAAAAACCTTAATTTTCTTCATTGGTAACAAATTCGCACTGGAATGGTATGCGATCAAATCCCCACGTACAAAAATTTCTCTGCGATAAGATTTCGCATGCGAGAAAACTGACAGTTCGTATGCGACCGGCCATATCAGTTATAGACGTGCAGTGATAGACATCCCTATTCTAGTTCGTTCACTGAGCCAATCGTGATTACTATAAGTGATTTTCTTAACTAAGGAACATTCTTTCGATCAGTTCTCATTTCGATATATCTAAGTTACAAAAATAATCAGGCAATAAAATTTGTCTTAATCTCTCATTGACTGGCAGCTTTCCGTTCCCAATGTGCAGTAATTGTCGCGAGAATACCTCGGATGCAGTGTATGTATGCTCGTCTTGCCACAATGTTGACTATTTCAGGAAAGCATTTATCTCGCCCGCTAGTGTTAATCGAGAAATTACAGACAATGTTTGCATAAAATCTCCTGAGAGCAATATCAATGCATTCCCGAATGGTTGAACGTTTGGATGAAAATCTCGGGACAATCGATCAAGAACCTCAAGCGATTTTTTCACTGTCAAAAATTTCTCATTCACATACAACTTGTATGGGATCAACCGAAATTGACCGGCGTGCATAAAAAGATAACTCAAATTCCCAGGTTTGTGTTGCGTGACATTTCGATTTGACGTTTGTACTCATTTGACATTTTGGCGCGACTATGAATTAAAATTTTGGAACAAATGCAGAATAGCTCCGATTCTCAAATAAAAGAAATAAATATGGGGATCGATAGAGACGATTGAGCTGAACATAACGGTATATATATATATTTTTTTTTTTGCGGAAACAACAACTACAAACGTTATTAAGGGTCAAAGTTCAAATTAAAAAATTTTTAAATCAAAATTTTTTGAAAACGAATGCATGGATTTTAAAAATTTTTATCTCATTTCATATCAAATTTGATTCTCTTTAATTCAATATACATATAACGCTCACTAAGTAGAATTCTATTTTCTTTGTTGCCGCAGAAGTGAAGCGGAACTCCTTTCAGCGTAAATTAATTCGATTTTTGTGAAAACCAAACAAGGCATATATAAAGTATGTACAATGTCGATAAAGAACACCAGTCATTTCTCTCTGTGCAACTGACGCCAATAGGAAATGCCACGTGAAGCCAGGTCCTTCTCCACATGAATACTTCAGACCTGGAACGTCGGTTCGCATTCGAAGGACATGGTCAAGCCAGCGGAGCCGCTGTATTTTCATTCGCTGCACTATGTCCATTTCGTTGTAAAGCTCATACAACTCATCGTTACATCGTCTTCCCGTCGCCAATGCGTAGAGGCCTGTAAATCATCCGTAATATATTTCTCTCGAATACTCCAAGAGCCGCCTTATAGAATGTTATCATTGTCTAAGCTTCCGCGCCATATACCAGCTCGGGCTTGTTGGCTGACTTGTTGGATAGAGTGATTTTGCGCTGGATTGCCATGCTGACATTATCGGTGTTAATGCTGGTTCCCAAGCAAACGAAACTCTACTTTCCGAGGTTTTTGTTACCAATGATGTCGATGTCATTGGCATACGCCAGAAATTACATGCCCTTGTAAAAAATTGTTCGTGAGTGGTTCAGTTCTGCAGCTGTTATTATCTTAACATTTGCAATATGCGATCATAAATGCCCTTCTGCTCACGCTTTAATTTGTGAATATTTGATTGGGCATATAATAGGAGATCAGAATAATAATAGTATTCATAATCTTTATAATATTATCCAACGTTATTCAAATTGCTCTCGCTGATTACACTATGCGACAGTCAAAATCGGGATGGGATGAAACCAACGGGAAATGATATATCGGTCAAAAACAAGTTATACGTGTCCCGGCGTTTCGCTGGGTCAAGTCTAGGAATCGAGATATATATATAACTATCATATAGGGGAAATTGTCACCTTTGGTGGTTTTTTTTTTGACATAACTCGAGAACCACTAGTCCGATTTTGTTCAAACAAATTAAAAAAAAATTAAAAATTACAATTGCTTTAATCTGTTCATATAACATTTTTCTATATAATCAACAGTTTTGCCGATAAAAATAAATGTATGAAGAAAAAAAATATTTTTTGCCTAAAATATTAAATTGTTTTAAATCTGTTGATTATATAGAAAAACTTTATATGAACAGATTAAAGGAATTGTAATTTTTAATTTCTTTAAATTTGTTTGAGCAAAATCGGACTAGTGGTTCTCGAGTTATGTCAAAAAAAGACCACCAAAGGTGACAATTTCCCCTATATGATAGTTATATATATATCACGATTCCTAGACGTGACCCAGCGAAACGCCGGGACACGTATAACTTCTTTTTTACCGATATAACTTTCCCCGGTAGTTTGAACTCTTCCCGATCACTGACCCCTACCATTTGTCTCACAGTGTTATTGGAAAAATTTTGCTAAAAACCCGAAGCAGCTCATCTAATTTAGCAAAAAAATTTCTGGGGAATGTGGATGTTGTTAGGTAGATTTGTATTTCACTAAGGTAGATTCTTAGATATTTGAAAACCGGAAAAACTCAACGCCAAACCAGTCACATTCTCTTTACTCGCAATATAGTACGTAGTAGGCTATGGCGACCCCAAGTGAATTTGTTTATGATTAAAAATTAACTATTTTATAATGTTAGGGAATGGTCACAACAATTTTAAGTTTTCATTAATGATTTCTTACACAGCTTTCATGGGATATTTTTTGTTTTCGTTAGGTATGGTTTTCATTATTTTTTCATTTGTCAGTAGTTTTTTAGTATTTTTTTTTCATTGATAATATAATCGTCTTTTAAACTGTTCGGCTTTTGGATAAGTGGAAACATAAAAAAAATCTTTAGTAAAGCTTTCCCTAACACTTTTCGTTTAGAACCAATTATGTAATATTTCACTTAGTTCCAATATTTGCAGTCTTTACATTTAGGACATAATCCTATTAAAAATACTTCTTAATCAAGATTCTCAAATGCCTTCAGTTTTGTACCGATATTGTAACATTTAATTTATTTTACCAGTTTAATTGAGTTAAATTTTCAAACAGGCGGCAACCCTCCTCAAACATATTTTCGACTATAGGTTTTTTAAAAACTCTTTAGGTTGATACCCACATTGCAATATTTAATTTGTTTAATCAATTTAAAAAATTAAAAAAAATTTAAATGTATTTCCAAATGTCAGTTTTCTTAAACCTATTTAATTGGATACCTATATCAATTAAATTGAGTTAAATTTTCAAACAGGTGGCAACCCTCTTCAAACATATTTTCGGCTGTAAGCCTTCTTAAAACTTTTTAGTTTCACACCCACATGGCAATATTTAATTTATTTTATCAATTTAACTGAGTTAAAATTTTAAAATTGGTGGCACACCTTCTCAAAAATATTTCCAACAGTTATCTTTCTTAAACCTCTTTAATTTGATACCCAGATTGTAATATTTCATTTATTTTATCGATGTACTTTAGTTAAATTTTCCAACAGGTGGCAACCCTCTTCAAACATATTTTCGGCTGTAAGCCTTCTTAAAACTCTTTAATTTGACACCCACATGGAAACATTTAATTTATTTTATCAATTTGACTGAGTTAAAATTTTAAAATAGGTGGCAACCCTCCTCAAAAATATTTCCAGCAGTTATCTTTCTTAAACCTCTTTAATTTGATACCCATATTGTCATAATTTATTTATTTTATCAATATAATTGGGTTTAAAAATTTTCAAATAGGTGGCAACCCTCCAATTTTTTGCGATATCATTGGTTCTGGTATTATACCGAACAATACAAAAAAAAAAAATTATTCAAATCGGTTCAGCCGTTCTCGAGTTTTGACGACCGTGACATACGAACACAACATTTTTATATATGTATATAGACTATCTCATTTCTATTTCATTTATTGACAGATTTTACAAAAGCAAAATTACTTGATTTCAGCATGATTTGCTTATAAATTACAAATGAGCCGTAAATAACGATAATGTGAATATGTGTGCGGTTCGCAATGTTAAGAGGGGTTCCCTTTTATTTTAAACTCAATAATTCCAGATTAATTGCTTTAAACTGTACGGTATTTTTATTAGAGGAAATGTCTTAAATTAGCGATACAGGATTTGCATTAGATCGTAGCACACTTAATAATAACTTCCAGCGACACGGTCATCTATTTATTTATTGCCTCAACGGTTCTCACATTGCGGGTGGATACATACATATGTACCTATATACCTTCATGCTGTTGTATATATGTATACATCTGGGTGTGTGCATGAAGTCACTGGAAATTCAATGCTCGCTGTGGATTTCATCGTGGAGAAAACTTGTTCTCCCGTACTTCTCTTGGCTGGGGTGGTTCGAAACCGTACATGCCGCCCCCATGCTGAGATCAGCATAATCACCAAACCGTCCTGAGGTGGTGTTTTCGGTTTCA